TGCAGAAGATGCACAAAGACCACCCGTCTCCTTGAAAAAAGTTGAAGGGTTTAACCACATTTTCCAGCAGTGGCTGATCTTCAGCTTTTTTTTAATATCCCTTACAAAGATGTCTCCCTTCTTTTTGGTATCTTGGGAGGGTTAAACCCAGACCCCATTATCAAATTGAAATGGCTGTAAATTAAAATTCCTGGTTTTGGAATGTGAAAATTTCATTTGGTGTTTCATCTCTCGAATTATAAAATACTTCTTCGCAGAAAATTGTTAAAAAGGGTCCATGCTGGCACTTTGTTCCTCTTTAAAAAATTCCTTCCCGTTTATGTTTGTTATTATTGCATTACTTTTGAACCACATTGTACACATACATATCATCACATACACATTGTGTTTTTCTTTCCTTTGGTCCTGTATGCAGACAAACTAAAAAAGCCGAACAATTTCCTTTTATTTCGTTTCGCTCTACAGCGACCAGCGCAGAGTTCATAACACGATTTTAGTTCATTTTCATTTGTCCTGGTGTGAACATTCACCAGTTAGTCTCCACGTTAGTGTTGTCTTCAACACATCGGCGGCAGGCATGACGACTACTTCTATGATGTCATGAACGAAAAAAGTTTTAATGAAATTACTCGAAAAAAAGAAAACTAGAAAGTTTCTTACTCAACTGCAGTATGGTGTCGTAGAAATTTTGAAATTTATTTAATAAAATAATTTTCATATATATTATTAAACGCGCGAATATTGTGGTGTTTTGTGGAAAATGTTAATGCGGTCGTCTCGGAATTGTTGCGAACACGTTTTTGACAACGTTGAACTTTTAATGAGAACGACATTATTACGTGTCATATATAAGAGAGTAAGTCCGGAAAGGAAGAAAAAAAAATACAATCAAATCTACAAATTCTACAATCTACAAATTTGAAAGTTTTTAAAACCAAAATTGTATTCAGCTAACTAAAGGATATTTTTTTTATATGAACAAAGTGTAAAAAGTTAAAATTTGGTATAAAAAAATCATTTAAGAAAGAAGAAGATATTTGTATTCAGCTAAACTGATAATCAAAATTATATTATTTTAATTAAGCTGGATTAAACGTGCATATATACAAAAGCTAAGCTGAATTAATATTAACTATTAGAAAAAAAATATATATATTTTTTTTTTTTGATTTCGAACATTTAACGAACAAGTTTCAACATAGTTAAACTTTTACAAAAATAGTATTCAGCTAAGCTGAATTAATATTTTCTATAAGAAAAAAGGATTTTTTATTTTTGGAAAATTGAATTAGCAGAGATCCACTAAAAATTTTTAAAACCGAATTATATTTAACTTGGAAATTATTAATTAAAAAATAAGTTAGCTGAATAGGTTTGCCTTTTTTATAACAGTTTCAGACAATATGAATAAAAATTCTTTAAGAGAAAAATATATCCATCTAAGCTGAGTACTGAAAGGAAATTGTATTCAGCTACCCTGAAGGACAATTTGAAGTAAGACAATTGTATTAAAATATTATTCAGCTAAGCAGAATAACGTCTGCATTCAAACGAAGTCTTGGGAAAGTTCAACTTACCAAGCGTGGCAACCTTGGCACTCTCAGTCCCAAAATCTCACAATAGTAAAACCTCCGCTCATTATTCAGCTAAGCAGAATACCGTCTGTATTCAAACGAAGTCATGGGAAAGTCCAAGTTGGCACTCTCATTCCGAAATCTCACAAGAGTAAAACCTCCGCTCATTACTCGGACTCGGATAACGTATGACTGATATCCCAAAAACTTTGGTGTTATGCGGCGACCTTGTGGCTATAAGGGCTTTGTAGTCGGTATACTGACTTTAAATTAAAGCTTCAACCAACTTTTTCGACTGATGTAGCCCCGTACCCTCAGTCTCAATGGTCACAAAAGCAAAAATCCAACACATTGCTCGGATTGAATATTCAACCAGGAAACATGAAAGTATCCCCGCTGACAAATAGGATCTTATGATGTATATGAATACCCCCTGGTCTTCAAAGGTCTAGGGAATTATTACACACTGTTTTTATTCTGTGGAGAGGTACCAGAAGAGACTACTGTGCAAATCTGACATTATTTTCGCTTAATAGAGGGATCTTGTTAAAAAGTGGCTTTTTATGGAAAGGAATGTGGATCGATATTCCACATCTTCGAACTGGATTTAAGTTTGGAAGAAATATTATGATGTGCAAGGTTTGGATGAAATCCATTACTCCTTTCGATTACTCAATCAAGTAATAAGATGGGACCCATTGGTCCACTCATTTCGTTACCTAGCCAAAATTTTCAATATTTGTAAATCCAATATCAGGCGAATGGAATGCCCAATATGAACCAAAATTTGCACAACCCATTATCTTTACGAAGTCTAGATTAAGTCCAAAGACTTCCTCCAAACCTCCCCCAAAAAAGGTCGCCATTTTCAATATTAGTAAATGCAATAGCAGACGAATGGAATGCCATATTTCAACCAAACCTTGCACAACCTATTGTCTTTACCAACCCTATATCAAGTCCGAATATGGGACTCAGTAGTTCACTCCTTCCGGTACCTCTCTCACAAATGGTCAATATTTTATAAAATTTTATCAAGATTAAATCCGAAACCTCTTTAATAAAAACATATCTCTTATATAAAGTTCAAAATAAAATTTGTGTGTGATTTCGAAGACCTTCGCAAACCATAGCTTAGGGGTATATATCTGTCGGCAACACCGACTGACACTTTTTTACTTGTTCTTAGTCATGTACTATTTTTTGCTAAAGCTGTGAATTTTGGTGGTGTATATATTTTCGAGAAGACGGTTAGAGTATATTACATTACATATTACATAAACGACTCCATCCCGATAGAAGGTAGGAATCCTAATTCTACAGTAACCTGTTATAACCCCTACAATATGTTTATGTTTATTCTTCCTTAGTGAGTTAGATTTTCGTCGTTAAAACTCCAGATGGAGTGCTAATGTCTGCCTTCTCGTACCGGAAAATTTTGATAATTTTGCAAAGTATTAACTGAAATCTTCCCTAGACTATATGATTCCCTCGAAGAAAATCTGCTTTCAGAAATAAAAATATTCAATTTTATTATTGCATTTAAGTTTTATATTGCAATTCCTAGCAAACTAACTTTGAAACTCTTAAAGAAGACGAACAAAAGTGGCATTGAACCAAAGGTTGTCTCGCTGCCTACCATGCTATAATATTTTCAATTGGAAAACTTGACTGCTTTTGTTAATAAATTATTTATCAATAAGCATGGGTCGTCTTCTTCACCTGTCTTAACTACATGGAAATGTCACCACCAGTCATGGTGTTGTCTAACAAATTTCATTTGTTGTAGTTTTTTATTTTTGCTAAAAAAAACCAACAAACCAAACCGTTTATTCAATTTGATCTTCCATGAAGAAGAAAAAAAGAATTGAACATTAAATATTAAACATTTCCAAGCGGCTATTGGCCAGGTGGTGATGTTAATGGTTGGTTGTTCGGTCGGATTTATGTAGATAAGTTGATTTGGTTTGAGAAATTATTTAAATATTCCAAATGGGTGTGGGCAGGTGTGTGTGTTTGTAATTGAAAATAGAGAAATGGTTGTGGTTTTTTTTCAGGGTAACCACCTTCCACCCCATCAGATGTAGATTTACTTGACCTAGGATATTAATGTTTCATTGACATTGAAAATCGAAAGTAGGAAGTTATTATTTTTGTATCAAAAAACCACCGTAATTAGAATATGTTGGTGTTGATTGTGTGTGAGAGAGGGAGGGCGAGGAAAATACATTTTCGATTTAAAGATTAAAAATAGTAATACAATTATTATATAACATATCAATTCCAGGGAAATTATAATAAATTAAAACAGCTGTGTTTATTACAATTACAACAATAACATGTTAATGGGACCTAAAGGGCAGGGGTGTAGGGTTAATCTAATTTTGTTAGGAGGGCACAAGAACAAAAAATATATTTTTCATTAGGTTTATGGAAATGACCGAGATGGCCCCGTCCAAATCTTTACTAATACTATGTTGATTTGAAGTTCTACTGCAATTTCAAACATAAGAGTTATTATTTAGGTATTCAAAAACATATGTCATGTTTGAGAGAAATAATAGAATGTGTGTGTCGTATCTAATACACTGAAATTTTTCATGAAATGTTCATAGGCTGTCCTTTGTCCTCAACAGCTTCATGAATTTTTTGGGGTATTGAATCAACTCTGGGCCTTTGGCGTAGGCTTTAGCTTTCATAGGCCCTAGAGGCCTAAAAATATATGTAGGAAATTTGTCACAAGTTTTGAAATTTCTATAAGAAAATTTGTTAGGTCTCATTGGATATTTTTCTTGGGCCCAGAAGCCTACAAATTGTATAGGCCCTAGGGGCCTAAACATTTTTGTAGAAAATTTTTATAGTCCTCAAACGTTTGGAAATTTCTATAAGAATTGTTTTAGGCCTCAGAGGACATTTTTCTTAGGCCCCAAAAGCCTACAAACTTCTATAAGGCCTACAAATTTGAATAGAGGCTTTTTCATAGTCATCAGTAGCCTAGAAATTTCAATAGGAAATTATCCATAGGCCTAAATTTGAATGTGAAAAATTTTGGATGCCTACAAATTTTTGTAAGTTTTTTTTTGTAGGCCTCAGGCTTTCGAAATTTGTTCATATACCTCAGAGGCCTACAAATGTCTATATCGAAATTTGTTCATATACCTCAAAAGGCCTAAAAAATTCTATAGAAAAATTGTCTTAGGCCTTAGAGGTCCACAAATTTCTGTAGAAAAAGTTTCGTTGGTCTAAAAATTTCATTGGGAAATTTTTTGTGGACTTTCGTGGATAAATTTATAATATATAAAACCCAAGAGCACCTCCTGATAATACCAACAGTTTTACACGACTTTTGATTTTTTTTCAAAGGACAGCAAAACTTTTCTTAATTTTTTTTATTTTTCTCTAACATTATTTTCTTCCTATTTACAGAAATCAGCAAGATGTCCGAGTACTGGCTTATTTCAGCCCCTGGCGATAAAACCTGCCAGCAAACTTTTGATACCATGAACAATCTCACCAGCAAACAAAATAATTTGTGTAACAACTTTAAGTTCCATATTCCCGATCTGAAGGTAAGCCTCACACACTCCAATGAAATTTACCAACAAAATTAAAAATAAATATTATTTCTCTCTCCCCTATACAGGTTGGTACTCTCGATCAATTGGTGGGTCTCTCCGATGATTTGGGTAAATTGGATACTTATGTTGAACAAATTACCCGTAAAGTTGCCGCCTATTTGGGTGAGGTCTTAGAAGATCAACGCGATAAATTGCATGAGAATTTGCTCGCCAACAACAGTAAGTACAATTATGCTAATTTAAAGTCCGAAAACAAAAATATTTAGTTTACAAAAGTATATCTAGCAGTAGAAGGCATTTTTATTTACTAACTTTTGACGAAATAATATATAACAAATAGTTTATTTTTTCGAATTATTTTTTTTTTGGGAATGAGTAAAAAAACTAACCAAAATTTTTAAATATTAAATTATATTAACAAAATTTATAGTCTTAAACTATTTTATTTAAAACTCCTTTTAATGAATGGTAGTTAAACAAAAATAATACATTTATATTTAAATATTTTATCTTTTTTGAAATAATAATATCAAATTCTACACAACAAATTATAGAAGATTTAAAAACTAAACGTTTTTCAATGAGGTTCGTTCTCTATTTGAACATTTCAAGATTTTTTTTTCATTTTCTTTTTTCTATTTTAAATTATTTTTTCTATACATTTTACTTTAGTCTTTTGTTTTGAATTTTATCTTAGTTTTATTTGTTTTTATTTTTTCTTGATTATTTGAATTTTTGTTTCTTGAACTCATATAGCACCAGCCACATTCATTACATACATCTCTATAACAATTGGTATTTCCATTGTTTTAGAGATTTGCTTTTTATATTATCTGTTTCCAAACAAACAACTATCATGAAAAAAGAAACGGTTCCCATATTTTTTGTGGACGTTTTAAAGTGAAATTATTGTATTTGTTTTTGTTTTTCGTGAAATTGTTAAATTTTGTGTTATACTATTTTGGTTTTTATTATATTACAACAATTTGATGATTATTGTCAATTGTATATTAATGCGTAACCCAACCAAACATCACAAAACAACAACATCATACATACATACACAGTCTCTAATACTAATATTCATCATAAATATTTTTTCTTCTGTATATTTACTTTAGTGCAAATTTTAATATTTTGTATTATTATTACACAGTGAATTGAGTACATAAATCATCAGAGAGAGATATATTTGTACATATTTAAACGTAGTAATTGTTAAAAATTAGATATACTTATTTTCATTACAAATAATAATTGTTTGTGTTGTCGTTTTTGTAGGCCTACACATTTTAATGGGACACTTTTCGTAGGCTTCAGAGGAAATTTTTAAATGAACTTAGCATGATATTTTAAGAATAATTTTAAAAGAACTAGGGTTGGATTTTGTAGGCCTACAAATTTTAATGGGACACTTTTCGTAGGCTTCAGAGACCTACAAATGTTTGTAGGAAATTTTTAAATGAACTTAGCGTGATATTTTAAGAATAATTTTAAAAGAACTAGGGTTGGATTTCTTAGCAATTTTTTATACCCTTCACCACACTGTGGTACAGGGTATTATGTCTGTGTGCAGGCAAAAGGAATCGAGATAGACCCATGGGTCCTTTAGAGCATCGTACTGCCAATATTGGTCCGATTGAAACAAAATTTTACCCAGAGTGCTGAATTATGTCCAGATTGATGTATACGAAGTTTTGTTGGAATCGGTCCAGATTTAGATATAGCTAGTTATATCAGATTTTATATAAATGGAGCATCACAGAGGCAAATTCAGGCCGATTGGCACAAAATTTTGCACAGTCTATTGAATTAGGTCCAAATGTATGCGAATTTTTGTTAGAATCGGTCCAGATTTAGATATAGCTCCCATATATAGTTTCGTTGGATTTTAGGTAAATGGTGCACCAAACTGAAAATATTTACCCGATTGGGACAAAATGTTGCATAGAGTACTGAATTAGGTGTGTATGCGAAGTTTTCTTGGAATCAGTACAGATTTAGATATAGCTCCCATATATAGATCCGTCCGATTTTATGTAAATGGTGCACTCCCAATATTGGTCCGATTTGGACAAAATTTTGCACAGCATACTGAATTCAGTCCAGTTTTAAATCTATGAAGAAAAAAGCCTTTGAGACCTAAAAAATACTAAATTAATATTAAATCCATATATGGAAATTTTCGTCAAAAAATATCTCCTGCTGACGTATTCACTACTGATTTAGTATATTTTTCAATTATTTTAAATTTGGTAATTTTTTCAGCGGTTTCAAAATCTGCTTTAAGGAGAGTAAACAAAGTTCGGGCAGGCTATTTTTTATTTTACAATATATTTCTAGGAATATTATTAGCCTAAAAGAAAATACGTTAAGAATTTTTTAACATTTCTCTATTTTTTATTTACTCATTTTTATTTTCAAATCACTTAAAACTAATTGCCTTAATAAAAATCCAACACGAGCAAATTAGTTTATAAGATCCAACAGTAACTTTCAAACACCACTAACACTGTATAATTTATGGAAACCCCCATCCTATATTTCCCTTAATTTAAGAATACAAATCCTTTCCCTGTCCTGCTTTCCCATCCAACGCCAAAAAAAGTCCCCTAGTCTTACACTTATGTTATAACTTGTTATTATTGTTACATTCATTTTTTTTTATTTTACATTTATGTTCCATTAACTCAAAACTCAAATCATGTGTTTCTACTTCTTACTATTATTATTGTTATTATGATTTCAATCATTTCAATAGACAACAAACAGTGTCGTTGTTTGTGTTTTCTAACTATTGGAAAACAATTAGTTTTTAAATCATTGCAAAATATATTTCTTAACAAAAAATATATACAACAAAGCAGACCAAAAAAGGCTCTCTTGTACAGAGTCTTTGGAAAAAAACCCCAACTCATCAAACAATTTTTCTTAAATTCTATTTTTGTTGGTCTCTCGCTGGTTCGACTAGAATTATTCATTGTTATACGATTTCTCATTTGTGTCCCTTTAATTTTCTTGAATTTTGAAATATGTTAAAACGTTCTTGTTCACATCATATATTCGTTCGTTGTTGTTGTTCAATTTCTTTTTTACTAGTGATGTTTGTGTATGCGTGTGTGTGTGCATCTCTTTACTGCATATTTGTACATAACTCTCAATATTTTTTGCAAATATTTTCAAATCATGGAATCTATATTTTGTTTTTTTTATATATATAATTTGCCAACATTTTTCTACTTATTCGTATTTTGTTTTTATTGTACGCTGCCAATAATTTGTTTTTCAATTGCAAATTGTTTACATTGTTTTGTTTTTATTATAGTTGTAAACAAATTTAAATCCAAACATCTTGGCACATTGTTTTTTATATTATCTACCTTACCTTACTTTAGTTTTAGTTTCGATTATTTTCCTTATTCTCTTCCTCTTCTTCTTCTTATTTTTATTTGAATGAGTTATTTTGATTTTGTTATCCTCCTTTACTCAAATCTTTTTTTGATTTCTTTCTTTAAACTTTTTAAAATAGTAATAAAAATGACTTCAACAGGAGTTACGTGAAAGGGATTTTACTACTAGGTACAACTTAGCCTAAGTTTACACGGTGCTACAGTAATTAATTATAAATTATCTTATAAAGTGTGGTTATGACTGTCTATTTTTATTAAAAATATTTTTTGTTTGAAATAGGATCAGATTTTGATATATCTCCCATATATATTTCCGTCCAATTTATGACAAAATTTTGCACAGCTCAATAAATAGAGCTTAGAATGACATGTGTTAAATTTCATTGAAATCGGTTAAGATTTAGATATAGCTCCCATATATATGTTCGTCCTATTTCATACAAATGGTACAACAAATACCCAAAGTTTGTCTGATTGTGGGGTGATTTGGCACATCTAAACAAATTGAGCCTAAAATGTATAAAATTTTATTGAAATTGGTTCAGATTTAGAAATAGCTTCCATGTATATTTACGACTGATTTCATCTTCATTGTGTACCAAATAACCAAATTTTGACCCATTTGCATGAAATGTCATGCCAGATTGCCGAATGACATGTGTATGATAGATTGAAGTTGCCTCTATATAACAACTAACAAAGGGATCATTACTTTAATTAGGCAAAAAAGGAACTTGTATCCTATATTAAAAATGCTACGTCTGTCTGACCGGCAGACGTAGCATTTTTACTATAGGTTTCAGGTTCCTTTTTTGTCTAATTAAAGTAATTTTAAACTATACAAATAATTAAAAAAAAAAACAACTTGTCATAACCTCACTTTATTAAAAAAACAAGAATTTTTTTGTAGCGTACATATTAGTATAGTATATACGAGTATATATGAACTATTTTTATATATCAATATATATTATCTTTCAAATATCACCGTATTTTTGTTTACGAATCGAAAACAACAAATCAGCAGTAGGATATTTTAGTTGTAAATAGGATTCTCCCTTAAATTTTTTACAAAAAAAATAAAATAAATAAAAACAAATGTGTATATATAAATATATATGTACCAAAACCCTTTTAAACTATTGAAAAAAATCGAAAAAAAAACTGAAATGTTTTCAAATTATGTTTGAATGCTATCAAAAAACAACATCAACAATTAACCATAACACCCTGTATGAAAATCAAAACAAAATTCAAATTAAGGTCCTGGGCCACCCGATGATTGCTGTACATCAACAACAACGCATGCTACAACCTCCTTCTCCTCCAATACCAACACCAACACCCATAGCACCACCATACATTCAGATTTAACTGGTAAATCTTCGAATTTGTCGAATAGCCATGACACAACAACTACCACCACTACAACTACTTCTTGCTCAGTTTGCCCATCGGGAAGTTGTTTGAATTTTTCCTCCAATGAAGAATGTGATCTTGATATCTTATCATCCTCCGCCGCCGCCTCACCACCGCCAACGTCGTCGTGTCCATGCGATTTGGCGAGTGATGGTGCCGATGAGGTGACAAGCCTTACAGCGATCAGTCCTACGACAGTGGCCAATGACAATTGTACCCTGACATCGGCAAATTCGGTGATGAATTTAAGATCAATTAATCCATTTCAACAACAGTGTGGAACAGCAGCAGCAACAACAACAACACGTCAACGACACTTTGGTCTAATGTCACCTCTAAGGAAAGAAAGCGGCGCCACTTCTTCATCAAGTTTTAGTATATCCACAGCCATTACGGCCGCAAATACATGTGCCACCGGCCCAGTGACTACAGCAAATAGTTTATATTTTTGTTCAAGTTCCGCTCCCACAACAGGTTCCAGCAATTTTAGCGCACGCTCTCTGCTAAATAAGCTAACATCCAGTCATCACAACAATAACACTTGTAGCATAAATAATAATTCAACATCCACAACGACCACAACACTGTGCAGTTTGTCGAATCAAAAGACGATGCCATCGACACCGACTTATCACCAAAATTCCGGTTCTTCGTCGACTACTCGTGGTTTTGCTGGCTTCTTTTGTAGTAATCATAGCCGTAGTATTTCGAAAATGGATGTCAACAATGAAAGTCATCATCATCAACAGCAGCACCAACACTGTCATCAAAATCACAACCAGCAACGTCACTCCCACATCCACAACCATCCACATCAGCATCATCACCATGAACCACATGACCATTATGGTGGTGGTGCTGCTGCTGACAACAATCAGCAGCAAAAACATTTGAAAAGTTCTGATAGTTTATCGGATGATGTTAGCGATACATTTGAATGGTGGTTTCAAAGACACAAACGACATTCAACAAAAAAGAGCAGGTATACCCAAACACGCCTCCCAGCATTGTCCTCCCTCCTCCTCACATAGACAACATGCTATCATCAATATTGTCACATTTCATCCATACTCTGTGGAACCATTTTTTTTTAATTTTTCTTTATTTCCTTCATTCGAATTGTTATCAGATTCATGTCAACAACAAAGGACAGAATAAAAAAGGAATGACACATCCTTCTTCATCGCTGCCGTCGTCGTTTGTAATTGAAGTTATCTTTACATCTTATATTTTGTTTGCAAGCTCTATTTTTAAACACCAGTCTATTTTATTTTTTATTTGACTTGAGTATGGAATAGGAAATACACCTCATATATAGATATAGCTCCTATATATATTTTTTTGACGATTTCATCTAAAATAATACTCAACGTTTGTCCGATTGAGACTATATTTTACACATGTTACCAAATTGAACCTACAATCTCGTGTATAAAGTTTTATTGAAATCGGTTCAGGTTTAGGTATAGCTATCCTATATATGTTTGTCCGATTTCATAGAAGTTCTGCACCAAATAACCAAAGCACAGTGTACCGAATTAAGTGTGACATATATTAAGTTTTATTGATATCGATTTTTTATGTAGCTTCCTTATTTATTTAATCTATCTGATTGCGTCAACATTTTACATAGCGCATTGATTTGACCTTGGAGTAAAGTATGTTAAGTTTCATTGAAATCGGATCATATTTAGATATAGCTCCCATATATATTTTCGTCCGATTTTGTGAAAAATGGATCACCAAACTCCCAATGTTTGTCCGATTGAAACGAAATTTTGCATAGCGTAATGATTTGGCCATAGAATAAAGTATATTACGTGATATCGGTTCAGATTTATGGTATAGCTTCCATATATATATTTTTCACAAATATTTTTTCGTCCGATTTACGAGGGCAGTTCGGATAGGACAAAAAGCGCGGTATAAAGTATTTTGGAAACTTCCATCTCTGTTATGAACACATGTTAACTTTTGTTTCGATCTAGCAACTCCTTCATATAGAAACAGGTATTCAAAATATACGCATCCGCAATTTTTTACAATGGAAAAATTAGAAATACGTGTTTCCATTGTAAAATATAGTGCGCCAAATACCTAAACGTCTGTCCGATTGTGTCAACATTTTGCATACCGAGCCGAACTGAGTCTAAAATGAGGTGTATAAAGTGTTATTCAAATCTGTTCAGATTTAAATATATTTTTTTGTTTTTAGTTCCTTACGGCGGAATAAATTTAAAAAAGCTTCCCAAAGAAAAGAATACTTTTTATTTAAAATTTACTTTTTTCAAACCACTGGCACATTATTTTCACCATTAACACCCACACCCTCATTTCATTTCCACCATCATTCCCTACCACGACCATTTCCCCCCAAACAAATCAAATTTTCTAACACCACACTTATGGCTCTGCTCTTCACTAGTATTTGAATTTGTCTATTTTCTTTTCGGTTTCGTTTTTTTTTGTGCAATTCTTCCTTTCTTTTTTTCGTTTCGGTTATTTTTCCCAACGCCACCACCAACAACCACCAAAAAAAACCTTCCCATTTTTATTGCAAAAAACAATCAAAATATATCTAGCAGTCAATCATCAACAACGAGTCAATTAAATTTAAATATTTTATTTAATTTAACATCAACACATAGATCGTCGCCAGTGAGTAGTTGTTGTGGCAGTAGTAGCCATGGTCGTTCCAGTCCGGATATTGATATGGGTGAACCGCCAGCGATGCCTTTGAGTCCAGGTTAGCGGGTTGTGTTTTGTACTCTATGCTCTACTCCTAATTTGTGTGTATGTGTGTGTGTACATATCAAAATAAAAAAAAACACAAACAAGAACATATTTCCAAATCTTCTTCTTCTTATTCTCTCAAAAACTTTTATCACTGAATATTTTATTTACTTAAAAAAATACTATTGTAACACATATAATTCATACAAAATGAAAAAAGTATGATGTGTACTGTAACCTTTCTTTTGCCATATCTTATTTTTGTTTTTTACCTCTTTTTTTCAGTTATATTTATGAATTTTGTTTGTTCACAGATTTTTTTCTCCACCACCTCTTTCTTCTAATAATGCTGAAATGTATTTGCTATTCAATATTGTTATACTTTTTTCAAAATGGCTATAACCGACAGAAGCGGTTCTATTGTACAAGATTCGATTTTTTACTATATACCGCTATACTATGCTATATTTTATTTTTTTTTTAATACAAATACCTTAATTTTAAGTATGATATGCGATATATTAAAAAAATTTTGTAAATATATTTGTGTGTCATGTCTTGTTTTGATATCTTTAGACTCTGCTTCACACTGTGGAACAGGATATTATGTCTTTGTGACAGGTAATATGTAAACGGAGTCGAGATCTCGACCAATATTTACTTCCCGTCCGTCCGCCTGTTTGTCGACCGATTTCATCTAAATGGTGTATTAAATACACAATGTTTGTACGATTGAGAGAAAATTTGGCACAGCCTACCACTTTAAGTCTAATATGACGTGTGTGAAGTTTTGTTCAAATCGCTTCAGATTTAAATATAGCTTCCATATATAATTTCGTCCTATTTCATATAAATGCTGGACTAAATATCCAACGTTTGCGTTTAAGTTTTTTGTGTAAGTTTTATTGAAAACGTTTCAGATTACATCTAAATCATGGACCGATTTCATCTAAATGATGGACCAAATACTCAACATTTGTCCTATTACGACGAAATTTGGCACACTGTATCAAATACAGCCTAGAACGTATAAAGTTTTGTTCAAATCGGTTCAGATTTGTATATAGCTCCCATATATATATTCGACCTATTTCATGCAAATTGGGCACTAAATACCCAACATTTGTCCGATTTACACAAAATTTTCCGAAATAAGTCTGGAAGGACGTGTATTAATTTTTTGACATCGATTCAGATTTACATATAGCTCCCACATATATATTTTCGACCGATTTCATCTAAATGATGCATCTAATACCCAACGTTTGTCCAATTGAGACGAAATTTTGCACAGTGTATCGAATTATGCCTAGAATGACTTTTATTTAATTTTGTTATAATCGATTGAGATTTGAATATAGATCACATATATATTTTCATCCGATTTCATGGAAAATGTGCATCAAATACTCAAAGTTTGTCCGATTGCGACGAAATTTTGCTCAGCGCATCAAATTATGTCTTAAGTTTTATTGAAATCGATTCCGATTTAAATATAGCTTCCATATATATTTTCGTTCGATTTCATGCCAAATACTAAATTGGCGGCATACCAAAGGACATGTTTCAAGTTTATGTAAATGGATTCATCGGACATTAGCCTTTTTCCTGACTGGTTTGTATGTTGAATTGTGTTTCAACTTATCAGGTTTATGATTACTAAAACAAAAATGTCAAATGCATGTATCACTTGTTGTAAAATGATGTTATATACTTAATTTATGAATTGTTTTTTTTTTTTTTTTTTTGTTCAAAAACACTGAAGGCTTATTTTAATATTTTTTCAAATATATATATTTTTTTTAAACTAATGTTTAAAATTGTATGTTGTGGCTTAGGAAAGTTTTTCAAAAACACTAAATGCTTATTTTAATATTTTTTAAATAAATATTATTTAAATATAATATTCATGTTTAAAATTGTGTGTTGTGGCTCACGGAAGTTTGTTTATCTTAGCTTTTTGTGTTATTATCTGTATATATAATGCTTGCTTGTGTTATTGTCCATTTGATCTGCCAAAAAACATATTTTGTTGTTGCTTTATTTTTCTTATAGATAATATAGTGAACAAAACGTTTTATAAAATTCAAAACAAAAAAGAAAAATAATCAAGAAAAAACCACTTATTAATAGAAATAGAAATTGCTTTAAAATATATTATTATTATATTTTGTTTAAAGTAAAACTGACAAGTTTTATATATGCTTAACAAAAATCACTTTAAAATATAGTATCTCTCTCTATCTAGTATAAAATTGTGTATGTGTATTATTTGTAGTAATTTTTTTTAATTATTGTATTAATATATAATATTATTAATCATTTCAAATTTTAATAACAATTTCTTTTTTTATTATTTTGCTTTTGCTTCTGTTTTTAATTAAATTAGCCGATTTACCCAACTACATTACACGCTTCCAATGGGATATGGCCAAGTATCCAATTAAGCAATCTTTGCGTAATATTGCCGATATCATTTCTAAACAAGTTGGCCAAATTGATGCCGATTTGAAGACAAAATCAAATGCCTATAACAATTTGAAGGGTAGTTTGCAAAACTTGGAAAAGAAACAAACGTAAGTTAACGAAAACGAAGTTCAAAAAAGAAAAAAGTTACAAATAAAAGAGAGATTAAATCGATTTTTAAAAATTTAAATTGAATAAATTTGATATTGATTATAGCTACCAAATAAGAGATTTCCACTGTAAAACACAGAGATTTTCTTTTATATTTCCAGTAAAAATTATCGAAAAATACATTTTGCTTTATTAAAAAATAGAATCGATTTGGTTTCTATGATCACAATACCCATTGTAACACTTAGCATGTTTGGTAATATATTAACAAATTTGCACTTAATTTAATTAACCAATAAATGTGCATTTTAGAATAATTTTTTGAACGTAACTTATAATCAAAAAAAATGATGAGCCATCAAAATTGTTTCTATTTCCCTCAAAAAAATATTAGTTTTTATACCCACCTACACCACAATATGGTACAGGGTTTTGCATATGTTTGTAACATAAAGAAATTTTGCACAGTGTACTAAATAAGTCATAGAAGTGGTATGTTAAGTTTTTTTGAAGTCGGTTCAAATTTAGATATAGTCCCATATATATTTATTTCCATCCGATTTCATCTAAATAGTGCACCAAATACTCAAAAATTGCTCCGATTGCCATGAAATTTTGCACGGCGTACTGAATAAGGCCTAGAATGATGTATGTTAAGTTTTATTGAAATCGGTTCAAATTTAGATATAGTTCCCATATATAATTTCGTCCGATTTTAAGCAATTGCGCACCAAATGCCCAATGGTTGTTTGAGACGAAATTTTGCACAGTGTACCGGATAAGGTCTACCATGACGTGTGTCAAGTTTTGTCAAATCTGTTCAAATTTAGATATAGCTCTCATATATATTTCCATTCGATTTCTCCTAAATAGTGCACCAAATACACAAAAACTTTCTCCGATTGGCATGGAATTTTGCAGTGTACTGAATAAGGCCTAGAATGATGCATGTTAAGTTTTATTGAAATCGGTTCAAATTTAGATATAGCTCCCATATATATTTTTGTCCGATTTTATGCGAATTGTCCACCAAATGCCCACTGGTTGTTTGATTGAGACGAAATTTTGCACAGTGTACCGGATAAGGTCTATCATGACGTGTGTAAAGTTTTGTCGAAATCTGTTCAAATTTAAATATAGCTCTCATATATATTTTTGTCCGATTTCATCTAAATAGCGCACTAATGTAACTGGCACATATATTGTCAACCGATTTCACCAAATACATGTTCCTCATTAGAATAGAACAAACTTAGGAGTACCTTTTCTGTGTAACCCAAGGTGGTGTAGGATATTTTATAAGAGGCCCCGTTCGACATTGGCTTTTCCCCTTACTGGTTTATTAATTAATTTCCCTTGGTTTTTTTACAATTTATTCAGTGGCAGTTTGTTAACCCGTAACTTGGCTGATTTGGTTAAAAAGGAACATTTCATTTTGGATTCCGAGTACTTAACCACACTTTTGGTCATTGTACCAAAGTAAGTAGCAAATAATTTGCAATTTTCCGCTATTTTCTAAACTAATTAAAATTTTGTTTTCCCTTTATTTTCTTTTCTCTTTAAATTAGAATGTTGGCCAACGACTGGATGGCTAACTATGAGAAAATCACCGATATGATTGTGCCACGTTCATCGACGTTGATTACCCAAGACAATGATTACTGCCTGTACAATGTTACCTTGTTCAAGAAGGTTGTCGAAGAATTCAAGTTACATGCCCGCGAAAAGAAATTCATTGTACGCGATTTCGTTTACAATGAAGAGGAATTGGCCGCTGGCAAAAATGAAAGAACCAAATTGATTACCGACAAGAAGAAGCAATTTGTAAGTAACAAAAAATATATTTAATATAAATAAAAATTACTAATTAATCTGTTGGTTTATTTCTCAAATAGGGCCCTTTGGTCAGATGGTTGAAGGTTAACTTCAGTGAAGCCTTCTGTGCTTTGATCCATGTCAAGGCATTGCGTGTCTTTGTTGAATCTGTTTTAAGGTATATATCTGGACGAAAATGTTTTCATTTCTCATCAACATATAATTTAATACAATATTGTTGTTGTTTCCTTTCTATAGATACGGTTTGCCTGTCAATTTCCAAGCCATTCTCATTGAACCCAACAAGAAGAGCATAAAGCGTCTACGTGACTGCTTGAATCAATTGTATGGCCATTTGGATGGTGCTTCAGCTGGTGGTCAATTGTCTGGCAGTGGTGCTGATGTAAGTATTGGAAAAATTATCCTTGTCCATTCTTCTATCCTCCTCTTTTTAAACTTCCGCTTTATCCAATGTGCCAAAATAATAATTTGTTTCCTTACTTATTTGCTTCTTTTCCAGAATGTTGATATTCCCGGCTTAGGTTTCGGACAAGCTGAATACTATCCATATGTATTCTATAAAATCAACATCGATATGATAGAAGCTGCTAAAATGTAAAACCTGAGCTGTATTGTTTTTCCATGGAACAAAGGAGCAAGCAAACACCTTATATATATGGATATGTATGTGTGTGCAACAAAAACTACAACAACAACAACAAAAAAACAATATAAATTCTTAAATAATAATTAGCTTAATTTTTAAAAATAATGTCGTGTATAATTGTAATTTCAAAAAACAACAAAAAAGAAACCTAAGTAAAACTTAATACTATGTATGTATTGTACAAAAAAACAAAACGAAAAACACAACTATCTAATCTAACAAAGAAACAGAAGCAGTGATACACCAACCCAACAATCCCTAAAAAAATATTATTTATTTGGAAGAAAAATTAAACTCTTAAAAAAGAAAAATAGCTGGCGGCGGCTTGTTAATTTTTTCTTCCCATTTTTAAAGCTCTTGTTTCGTTGTTTATCCCTTTGCTTTTTTATTAAATGTTAAGTTAATATCTTCCATTCTTTTGTCCATATTTGCTATTACATATTTTTTAAACAAAAAATAAGATTCCTCCCTTATTTCGTAACACTCTATTATAATTACTACTACACCCACTACAATACAAAGAAAAGCGCAGAACTTTATTTGTTTTGGTTGTAATTAATTTTTTGTTTGTTTTGATTGTTAACAGTATTCTGTGTATAATTATGTTAAAGAAAAATAAATCTATTAAAAAGAAAAGATTTTAAGAAAATAATTTTAAACAAACAACAAAAACGTGTTTACTGTTTTTTAAATTATTTTATATAATTTTTCATCATTTGGTTTTCCATTTTTTTGTTTTTCAAAGCACAAAAACAAAATCTGGTTTTATAGAGCAAGCATCCTTACTCTAATTGTTGTTGTTTTTTAGCTATTATTATCAATAACAATAATAATATTATTACAATATAATCAACAATAATGTCTAAATTGATAACAAAACCAATTGTTGATACTTACGAATATGCTAATACATATATATTTATATACAATTACAAACAACTGCATAAACTATATATAATCATGTTAGAACTATTTCAATTTATGTGTAAAAAACCAAAAAAAAAGATACATAATTAATTGTTTACATATTTGCAAGCAAGCAACAACAACCGAGAAATGTTTTATAATACCATCATAAAACATCCAACAACAACAAATACAAGAAACTATTAATGCCATCCTTGTAAATAAATATTATTGATGAGAAAAAGAAATGAAAACAAGAAAGAAACAAAAAAGACATTCCAAAATTATTTGGCGTTTTTTCTTTAATTTGGACACTGGCTCGCTCATGTAGGTAATGGGGAGGGTAAACAATTTTCAATTTCACCGTCTACCATTGAATCACACAGTTATGATCAATTAGAACATTGCATTTACCTAATATTGAATTTATAAATATTGAAAAATTTGACCCGTTGTGAGGGACGTACCAGAAGGTCCCTGGACTTGATCTAAGCTTGGTAAAGATAATAGGATGTGCAAAGTTTAGTTCAAATCGGATACTACATTCACGTGATATGATATTATAACTCCGTTCGACGGTTATCGTGTGCACCAGCCGGACGAATATTATTTGTAAATTGACTCCAAATTGTCTGAAACGAATTTTGTCCAAAGAAACATGGGGGTTTAAAACCAATCGAATTATATATCTTCTTTAACCATAAGGCTGAGAGTATAATAACTAAATATTCCTTTCTTTGCCCTCATAGCTACTCCCAGAAAAAATTTAATTTTTCAGTACACACACCTAAAAATCAGATGAAATATTTTAGTTTCAACTCCCTCTTATTCCCCATACAAATTAAGATAGAGAGTTCTAGAATTGCCCGCTCATTTAGTTCTTTCATCGCGTTCATCAAGTGCAGGTGTCGTTCGTTGTAGTGTTCGGTTATTTTGCCAGTTGTTAAATTAAAGAGTGTAAAAACTCCATCTCCTCTATTTACATTCGGCTCGAAACAACAAAGCTATTCTATAGATAAATTTGTGTTTCTTTTTAATAGTTCCGTCATCAATTTTCCGAGTTTCAACCTTTCAATCCTTTTCACAGCCGTAGGAAAGCATTCGAAACGCATTTTCCGACGTTTAATCCAACGCTTCGGGCGGGAGAGAAAAAACTAATTTAAAAACCGTAACTTCGAGTATATATAGCAATTGTGTTAACCAAATATAAGTAAATTTATTATTAGCAGCGCAGTAGAAGCTTAAAAGGTAAGTGTTGTCTAACCACGTTTCCATTACTGTACGCTAGAAGATCCAATGGTCATTCCTAATCTTTTCCCTTTATTAAATTTCATAATGTATGACTCACCTATTTGTTTACCATCACAGGGTGCTTCTACATCAAACATATTGCAAGGTTATTGAATTTATGTCTGTATAGCGCCACCTATTCACCAGTAGCAAAACCAGTGAGAGGTCAATTTTTTTGTTTGCGTTTTCACACGATTAGGTCAAATTTAAAAGTTCCAATGAAATCATTTCACCTCTTACACGTCCTGTTAATTGGATGATGGCTTTTGTCGACGTGTCTCCACTTGTTTACATGTCACGTAATAAGAAAAAACATTGGTTGTGCTAACAGTCAGCTGAGCATGTTTATCCTTCTTCTTATTTTTCTTTTATTGTAATAATTTTGGCGGCAGCATATAGATATTTTGTTAAAATACGATTAAAAAGCGCTAGTTTACAGTTATTAAAGATAAAAGTTAATTTAATAAATTGGTGAAGAAAACAAAGTTTAAGCAAAAGAAATTTTAAGTGGCAGTGAAAGTGAAATTTACTAGTGTCATGGTCTACCTTTTGTGTTTGGTATAGTCGGTCAGTAGAACTGATGAGAATGGCAATGGTAAGTCATTAGTGATTTACTATAGACATTTCCTAAAGGGACTATACAGAACTATCTCTGTGGGATCTATATTCCGAGCCTGGGCGAGATTTCGCGTATAGGTCAACAGATCATTTTTTTACACTGGCAAATTTTCCGAATCATATTTCCTGTATTTAACCCCATTAGGGGTCTTCATTGACCGGACTTACATGCAAAATTTCGTGAAGGTTTGTTTTAATGTTATCGATAAATGCCTGCAACAGAAAAACATATTACAGAATCTCACTACAGAATAGTTTCAAACATAAACTGCATATTCTTCCATTAAAAGACTATGTGTGCTACTATAAGAGGACCATTAGGTCTTCTTCCTATAAGATAATTTTTTTAAGAATACTCTTCGGTCCTCTATAAGAAAAATCTGTGGTCCACTAAAAGAATACCCTGCTTTATTTCATGAGAGAACCATCTGGTTTTTTATATGAAGTCAACGACGTAGCCTGGGGCCCCGCATTTGGCATTCCAGGGTGGGAAACATTTTTGCAGCAGATTTTCAATGTTCAGTTCATGTGTCAGCTTAATCCTCATATACATATGGACCATAATTGATGTAAATAAAGACTAACATTGCCTCAATGAAAACATCCAAATTTTTACTATAAAATATGATCTTGTTTATATTTATTGATTACAAGCATTACTACTAATAGATCATTAATGTAAAATTTCTCAAACACCCACCCGACCGTAACGATTTATTCATCGCTGTGAATTTTATGTATAACGGTTCGTACCTTTTTTATAAGTTCTTTCATATTTTCATATTTACCCGTTGAATCGGGTAAATTTTCAAAATTAATGACATCACTGACGCCAACTTTAAAGTTTTCACCATTTGGCAATGAATCATAGGGTGAGAATTTCAATACCGGTGTACCCATGTAGGTTTTGTCAATATTGTCATTATTGGTTTCGGAGGATTTGCAAGAATCTTTAGAATCTTCATTACTGTTTTGGCTTGCATTGCTTTCTGATTGTTGGCTAGCTGCGTTTCCTGGTTGTTGGTTAACATCCTTATCGGGCTCTTGGCTAAGATCATCTTCTGCTGGCGGTTCATTAGATGTCTCATTGTATGTTGCCTCATCCCCTATGCTGTCTTCTATTGCAATTATTTCGTCGACCAGAGAATCATCGATTTCTACATCTGATGTATTTAATGCCTTTAAAAGTTGTTTCTTTTGCACCTCCAGCTCATCCAAAGATGGAGAATCTGGTGAATTTGGTGAAGCGGGAGCCATACTACGATCAGGACTTGGGGGTGGCAGTGGAGGTGGTGGGGGCGGTATCTCTTCCACAATTTCTGGCGGGTCGGATGGTGGTGGCGGTCTCACAAATTCCACATTTTCACTTGGCTCCACATCTTCAATCTCCATATCTGATATTTGTATGTGATTGGAATCATTGATGCTATCATCGGCATTTGATTTGGGAAAATCTTTAAGCTTCTTGCGTTTGTAACCTTTGACCACATTATCACCGAGCGTTTTAACAAATTCCTCTTTCATTTGGTTTCGGTTCATTGGCGGCACATTGTGATACTTGTAGTCCTGTAGAATAAGGCAATGATATTTAATGTTACAACATAATTTAAAATGAACTTAATCGTCCACTACTTACATCAAAGAAATTTTCACCTGGATCTTGATTAAAACCAGGAAAGTCGATAATTTTTGATACATTGTATTTGTGAGTGTTTGCATCCACCTCGCCGTCATCCTCATCGGAATTCAAAATTTTCGATCCCTAAAACAATAACATAAAAATTACAACAAATCTCTGAATTTAATAACACTGGAACTTACATCCGAATTAAACAAATTGATGCCAGAATGTTCCACCTTGGCATCTTCCAACCAACCGGGTGGATATCCCAAAACACGCATGCGATAAAAGAAGAACGGCAATTCGCCTTTTCGCAAACCCATAGCCTCCCTCAATTTATCACTTATATTGCCCGGTCTCAAATGGGCAAACCGTTGCTCTACATCAACATGATAACGTTCCGTTTTGGCAAAGTTCTTCTTGGCCATTTTGATGCGTTTAATATTGTGTGGCATCGGGCAATCTCTTATGTTATGATCAGCTTCACCACAATTGAAACAGTTATTCGATTTGGATGCTTTCATATTTTTCTCTTCTTGTTTTTGTTTCTTAGTTGCAGCTGCTTCTTCGTCCAGGAGGGCATCCTTTATAGCTCGTTTATAGGAGGGTATTTTTATGCTATCCAATTTCTCCGCCGGTGTAGTATCAATAGTAAATAATTCACTAATGCCGCTGAGGTCTGGTGAATCTTCCTTCTCAAAGGAGTCCGGTTTACAAGTGGCGCTTTGTTCTTCGTCAAGTTGGGAATCATTCTCATTGTCTGTCGCATATCTAACATTCAATGTAATGCTGTTGTCCTCTTCTTTGGGTAAAATTTCTATTTTTCTATTTTCACATCTGCCATTTAATTTCTCTTTGATACATTCTTCAATAAGACATCCAAATTTGGCATAGTTTTCGCTGGTAAATATTATTCGACATATATTGCCGTCGTGGGAGGATTCATCCTCATCGTCGTCCAGTTCACCTTCTTCTATTGCATCCTCATGGGAGTCATCCAGTGTAATACAACTAACAGAGTGTTCCTGCAACACACAGTCACTGTCGTTCAGGCTTGCATCAGCGCCCGGCATGCTTTCTATCTTGAGATCTTCAACAAGGAAATATTTAATTAATTTAGTACAATTAAATAGATTTATTAAAAAACACGCACCGACGCTCTGACAGACACACACAGAATTTCTACGAATATGATGGTGAAAGAGAATATCGTTAAAATTGGGGAACAAAACAAAATTAAGCTGACTAGGGATTTTAAGATCGATCTTGACAGGCAGTAGGGTTCTAAAGGGAAGTGTAATATATGCCAACATCTTTTTCCAGGGCTACATAGGTCGACTTTAGTTGGAAAAGCAGAACACCCTGTGTCGTGCACGATAAAATGAAAAAAAATCATTCAAGTCATCAATACTTTGGCAACTCTGTCGTTATTTTTGATTTGTCTGTGCTAATTGGTGTAGTGAATTTTTGTGATAAAAAAAACATACAATTTATTTTCTAATTGGTAGTCTGTGTTCCATTCCCTGTTTGTTCCCCTCGTTACATTTCTTAATTTGTTTGTTGTAACATTATTCTGGTTTATTTTCTTATTGTCTTCTCAAAACAGAGTTGCCAATAATACATATTTTGTACAAATCAAAGGATTACGAATTCCAGCTATTTTTTAATTTTATAAATATTTGAATTAAAAAAAGCTTTACAATGATCTGTCCGTATGAATTGTGTAACATTTCTAATGAAGATGAATTGTGCGTTACGTGATGGTTCTGTTTAAATCAGTGGCATGTTAAGTGTGCTCGTATCAACGTGAAAGTAGTTGATAGTATTGGAGACAATGTTGGCGTTCATTGGTGCTGTGTTCACTGTAGAAAATTTTCTGCCGATTTTTATAACTCTTTAAAAACTTGCAATCGGAGCTTGTGTCCATTAAGACGGACTTTACATCATTATCAAGTCGTTTTGAAACATTTCCTTATCTGTATGATAAGTACCAGGAACTCGATGAATTTGTATCGTCGCCGTCCGTTTCTGAGCAGAAACGAAATACGTCTTCGAAGAAGGCATCAACTAAAATGATGCATATTTGTAAAGCCTCTGTTTCTGCTGAGGACACTGCGTCACGAACAGCGTCAGAAAATTTTGATAAAACTGAGGCTGTTAATGATCAGACTTATGCCAGTGTCGCGTCTTATGCAACCACGGAAGCGAGCAAGGACTTAATGGAAGTGACAATACCTCATAACGCTCTAAGTAGACTGGAGAAGACCGTAAATCCCTTGAAGCATACATTTTATTTCAATAAATATTTTTTGCAAAATTTTCATTTCAAAAGTGTTTTTTTCCGTTACATTTCAATCATTTCAACATCGTTAGCATTTTTACCGCTATGTAATGCTCGTCTTATTGTATTCTGTTGAAATTGTAGTTGTATCAAAATAATTATATAATTCGCAATGCTATTAAATATCTGTAATAAAAACATATATAAATAATAATTTTTTGTTTATATAAATGAACTTTTTCAATCATCTTACCATAAACAATAGACCCAGATTAAACCGCAAAATCCTGCCAACGGTAAAATACGCATTGTTATGCATGCGCCAATGATAAAGGGAATCCATAGTGTCGTGAATTCGAAACGATTTATTTACGTAATTTTCCATGCGCACAAATTCCTGCCAACATTTCTTACGCTGTTTATCAAAATTGAAGATATAAAGAGTAAAACGACATGTACATTAGAACTTTTTACAGGGGTTAACCTTTATGAGGATTTATTTGACATATATTCAAAGGAATTGACAATTGAAACCCACTGGGTTAACGAAATCTGGTTAAATGTAAACGTACTGTAATGTTGATATTGTTATTGAATTAGAATTAAAACATGTTTAGACTATGTCTATAGGTTTTGACATTAGATATTTAAATGAAAGTGGTGTCATCTGAAAGGTTTAATTTTACACCTTTTTTTGAAAAGAAATTCTTCAAATTTTAAATATGAAATTTAGTACTGAAGTTTTCTATAATTTCACAGTCATAGTAAAGTAGATTATTTACTCTGTGATGTGACACCATTTTAGTTGAAATGCGATTATCTATTCAAAAGTTATACGCTTGGAAGTTTAGACATAAAAACTAATTTGCAAGATTTAAATCATTCCCAATAATAGATGGCGCTGACGATGGGTTTATGAAAATTGCATGCCTAGATTTAAGATTGGAAGAAATATTAGTCGGTGTTGACCACATTTATGGTTTGAGGAGATCTAAATAGTCTATAACTCTCGAAGGGAGCAGCCAATTTCATTCACACATCATAATATTTCTTTCAATCTTAAATCTAGGTATGCAATTTTCCTAAACCCATCGTCGCCGCCATCTTTTATTGGGAATGATTCAACGTATTTTTCTTACCTCCACATGCGCCATATGACCATAAATACTGCACACAATGACTTTATAAACTCGTGGCATTACAAAAAACACAATAAACATATATTCTTTCCAATGGTGATTCGCTTCAATTGCTTTGGAGCATAACAAAAAACCCATTGTTGTTATAATTGCAAAATCATGGAATACCGATGCACTGCTAACAACATTAAATACCGAATTTAAACGTGGTATTAATTCATTGTATTCCTTAAAATAATATTCCAATGATTTAAATGTTCTCAATATCTTGATGTCATTACGTCGTCGTCCTTTGCCATTATTCTCAACGAAATTCAATTGAAATAGTTTATATAGTAAACGGAAACGCAACCGTAACATATCCATTTGAACGACAAACAAGAAACTGGCCACTGCTGCCGAACCCGTCATGTAGGCATAGCCGAAACACACCAACAACGAACTCAAATAGCCACACTTGCAATTGGCCAAGTTAAAAACAAAGCCGAAGGATATACATGAAAAATACAAATAAAAAAATGCTGTTAATTTTAAATATTTTTTGGTATTCTTTGTGTAGTTCCAATTGACACCAGGAAAATCTTTAATCAATTCATCATCGAGACTCTGTAGACGATGCCAACAGTTTTGGTGCTCCGAACGTGTCATATCCAAACTAAAGGTAACCACCAAATAACAGAAGACACAGATAACGGATTCCAAACACATTACAAATGCCACTATGGGCGTCAAGCGACCAATCATGGCATTGTAATATTTTTCAATGTTGATTTTGATAGCCGCTCCGCCGCAGAAGCTCGCCAGCGCCATAAAACGCACAATGTAAATGTAAATAGTGGACCAGCGTGTATAATACAACTTGACACCATTCTTCAGTTTAAACCCCAAACAGCCAGTGTGATAGAGTATGAAGAACATTATTTGAAAACACTGCAGAACACTTTTACTTTCGAATAAAGAACGCATTGTTTCTTTCTTTTTTATCCGGAGGAGTTCTTTTATTGGCTGAGTTGTGAAATGGTTACAAATGTTTGAATTTTCGTAAATGTTTGGAATTTTACTCCTTTTGTATGAATATAATATTTGGGAGGGGTGATATTTAGTCAGATAATTACAATCAATTACGGCCAAAGATAAACATCACACAACACACAATTCCAATGGCATTAGGGTGGAATTTCAAAACAAAGAAGCTAGTGTAAAACTTCATTGGCAGTGACATACATTGCATTAGTTATTACTGGAAAAACAAATAAAAAGTGTCAATCGGTGTTGCCGACAGATATTTACCCTCAGCTTACGGTTTGCAGAAGTCTACAGAAAATCATACAAAAATTGGTCTTATAAAAAAAAAGAAAAATTAATACCTTTCGTATGACAACCTAGGGCAGTTGTCAATCTCCTAATAGGCGCGTTTTGTCGGGTGGCGGATGGGAAGGGGGTTTCTACGATGTGCTGGTTTTAGCAGAACTAAGTCAAACTATGCCGGATTTTCTGTGCACTTCGTGGAAACCTTGGGGATCTTCGGATCCCCTGTGGACCAAAATGAATCGGGGTAGTGCCCTTAAAATAATCAACTAACATGGAATAAAAGAATAGAAGAAATAAAGTTTCGGTGTAGGGAGTTAATAACTCAGTATCGGCCGCAATCGTTGGTGAGACCACAAGCCACATGTCGTCGAGATCATGATCCGGATGTTCTAGGTGTGGGTGCCTTGCATCTGCAGCTGTACCTGCTACAAGCTCATCATGTTTACCCCAAAAAAAGGCGACCCGGCAATTTAAATGGAAAACGAGCTAGGCAAGACTGATGCAAATCAGTCTACGACTGGCAGGACTGTAGTTCTGGGAGGGGATGACCTACATGGGACCCTTAATGCTATCCGCGATAGTCTAGAGGAACAGAGTAGGGAACTCTTCGACCAACCGGTCATTTAAATATCTTCAATACGATAAAGTTATGACGAAAAGAAATGAGGTATGCAACCTGTCGTCAGCGCCATCTCTTAATGATTTTGTTTAATAGAAAGTTATATTTTTATTAAATCTATGAAAAATAATCTAAATATCTTTGATCTTCTTTGATCAATTGACCGTTCTAATGTTTTTGTTTTTTAATAACCACCACGACAAATATGGGTATTTTTCTTTTGAATTTGATCTGAATTACATTGTAATTGTGTCGATCAATAAATTGATGAAAAGTCGTATTTTTAAATTTTTAACGATCTGTAATTTTTTAGCAAATTGTTGTCAACGAAAAAGTCGTTTTGCGATTTCCAATCATGTGTTTCAATAGATGGCGCTATTAGCATGTCTTTGCCGGTGTTGCCAACCATTCAGTGAACTTGCGATTTAAAGCATACTTTTAGGCGTAAATGAATAGAGGTTACTCGTTATAATTTGCTTATTTATCTAAATCTCTCGTATTTATATTAAAAAATAATCTTTAAAAAATATTGCTTGCGATTTGTGTATTGTACCATTTGATGATTGTCTTACCTTTGTAGTTGAAATTAGGCTTATGTTCCAAATTTGTATTAAATAAAACATTGGTTTCATATATTTTATTTTTTAATTATTGTATTAAACAATCTTTATTTATACGACTAGATCCAAAGATGTTTAAAAAAATCATACAATACATACAAAATGAATATTAAAAATAGTTTAATGTTTTCTTTTTTTTTTTGACAATTAACATAAAATCGTATAAAAAAATTAATAACTGTAATACCAAACAAAAAGTATATATAAAAAATTACACATATATATGTATATATAAAACTAAACTAAATGTAATTTAAAAATTATAATAATTGTAATTATTATTTAAGAAAAATATACAATTAAAAAAGTAGTAGTTATAACGAAACGAATGTGTAGAATATACATACATAAATATATATTTGAACTTATTTACATCAGACATCATTGATTTTTAATACTTTCTATTTGCAGTAGATAATATATATTTTTGTTTTGTTTTAGTAGAATGTTTTTTGTTATATATATATGGAGTTTAGAATGTTTGCATAATACTCAATTGTTATTGTCCATACAAACAATTATTAATAAGCAAAAAAAAAAAATCCAAGGAAATTAAAATGTTAAAAAGTTAACTCAATTACTGAAATTGAAACCTTTTTCCCATTAAGAAAAAATATTTATTTATGTTTTTTGTTGTAGTTCTTTTTTTATTTATTTTCCATTTTGTTTTTAATTTTAGGTACCTAATTTACATACAACAAATATGTAATTGAATTTATTTATTTATTTTTATTTTGTTTTTTTATATGTAATACTTTTCATAGGGTTCATTCTATTGTTGTTATTTAATTAATCTCATTTGTTTGCATTTTAGAACAATTAGAGATAGTTAAGTTGCCTTTATGTGTTTTTTTTTGTTTTGGTGGAGGAACAGTTGTTGATCGGTCGTATATATTTGCCTGTCAGTGAATTTACTTCCTTCCCAAAGTATCACGCCATTCCGAGTATTTATCCATTTCTTGGTGCAATTGTAATGCTTCCATGCATGCGTTGAAGAATGGTGAGCCAAAGCATTCTTGTCTGAACGTAGTGTCAGAAGAGAGCAAGCGATAGTGCACAGAGTTGGGGGGAGGAGAGAAGAATTGGAAAACAGCAAGAAAAATTGGAGAAAAAATGGATGTAAAAATTTTCAAGATTAATATTCATTGTATTATAATTTGTTTTAATAGATATTTAAATTATTTTTTTTATATATACAATAAGTGAACATTCAAAAATTAAATGTCAAAGTTCACTTTTGCTTTCTTTTTAATGTCAAAAATTGTTTTGAGGTTAGAAAAATAATTGTTTTTATATATACAAAAATGTTAATAGTTTGTTTCAAAAAAAAAAATTGTATATTGAAATTTTGTATATTCTACAAAATTCAAAGGCTTTGTATAAATTTTTTATGTACAAAAATAAATTGCTGGAATCAAAACATTAATTGTTTTTATTTTTCCCATTTTCATTGCGATTTTTTTATTTTTTTAGTTCCTATTAAAGTAAATCCACTATAAAACCAATTGTTATAAAAGGGGATGTAAAAAACAAATCCTAAAACGACATGACAATCCTTCAAAATCGTTTATTTTTTATTTTACTGTAAAAATATTAAAAAGAAATGCCAATTTGCTGATGTATTTACTTTGAAATATTGTTATCAAGTTTTGACATTGGTAATATCAGAGTTGCATTTTGTTTTTTTCCGCTATGTTTTAATAATGGCACAATAAATATGTACTCCATTTAGCGCAGCTGACTAAAGCGGTGTACACACTATAACAATTGAATGACACTTTTGCCCATATTTGGCTTGTTTGGTAGTGTTGCCTCTTATGTTCGTCATTGAAGTCAAGTCATAAGCTGCGCTAAATGGATTCATTGAGCCATGAATTCATGTAAAAATATGCATTTTGACATTCAATCGGACAGTCAGCTGCGCTAAATGGAGTGAGTACATATTTATTGTATCATTCTTGTACTAAAGGAGAAACTTTGGAATCAATGCTGCAATTTGTCAGATTTTGGTTTAGATTTTCACAAAATATTGTATTAGTTTTTTTTTATATTTCAATATTAATGATATTGATAATACAATGTTTAGACAACGCTGTATTTTTTGAGAGTTTATTTTCTTCCAAAATGTTTTTCACGGCATCTTCATATTAAAAGTGGATATATAAACATGTATTTAAAAAATGAATTTATCTTTATATACATATTATTGGGAACTTCTTCTGTGGTAACATTTTTTTAAATTCAGGTCATGTCGTCCACCACCTTAGCGTTGTCATGAAATTGTTATAGATAATATTACAAAAAAAATATTCCAAAAAACTTTCAAAAATTTTAATAAAAAAAGTTATTTTTGTCCCTTAGGCCTTGTTTACATTGATCCAAATTAATCGATTCTAATGTAAATGTGGCCTTATATACATATTATTGGGAACTTCTTCAAAAAATATGGTTATGTTTTCCACAATTCAAAACTCAAAAAACAAACTTGGAAAAATCTTCAAAAAAATCATCTTAAATTAAAACAAAATATAAACAAATAAAAATTACAAAAACAAAGAATAAGGAACATACCTAATAAACCAAAGTAAATAAATTCCAGAAATGATAATAGGTTTTGGGACGACATCATTGACTCAAGCAAGACACAAGGCTCAATTGTGTGAGAAGGATTATTTTAGAATGTGGTTGAAACTCCAGAGTTGCCACAGTTCATGTGAGAAAGTTTCATCGTTTCGAGAGAATGCTGCACAAAAACTCTATTCTTCAGCAGGACTCCATTGAGTCCATAATACAACGTAGTATTTTGAGAGGTGTACTCTATTTCTTCTCCTCCAATTTTATGGGGGTTTCATTCATATGTGATTTGTTAAAACAGCAGAAAACTCATAGTCATATACAAAGGATTCACATAGCAAAGTTAGTTATAAGTTTTCGATTTTTTTATTTTGTTTTTCTTGTTTCTTTTTTATGTTTTTTGTTTGTTTGTTATTGTTTTGTTTCTTCACAAAAAAATACAATAGTCGTGTGTTTTGTAGTAATTATGTATAAAGAGGAGTGTTTTTAACGTGTTCTATCACAATATTTTTCAATAGTTCTTTTTTTGTATGTTTTGTTTAATAGTTATTATAATATATACATGTATATGTTTTGTGTGTGTGTAATTAAAATACGTACATACATCATCATAATAATTAAGATTTGCCAGCAAATTTAAACGTTACACTTTCTTAATTTTTTTTTATTTTTTTTTTATTATTATTTTTTTTAATATGGTATGCAGGATATTTTTTTAAATAATGTTATATATTTTACAATTATCTAATATTTTCAAAAAATCTCCCGTTTTTTTTGTATTTTGTCCAAAACAATTGTAACATTTAAAATGTTCAAGCAAGCTTAAGACAAAATACCAAGGAGTTGTTTTTTTTTGGGATTTTGCAAAACAAGAACAAGAATAGAATTAATTTGATTTCAATTTTTGTTTTTTTGATTGGTTATATGTATGTTGTATGTAATTGTATGTGTGTGTGTATGAGCTATAAATACAAAACGTTGCTAAAATACTTTGTTCGTTTTTATGGGTGTGTGTGTTTGTTTGTTTCTACGCTTCTAACAACATGTTTTCTTATAAAAAATGAAATTATAGAAAATAAAATAAAAAGTAAATTAAAAAAATAAATAATATTTCTTTTATGTTTATATGTATGTATACACGAAAACCCTTGTTTAAAATTGCTGTGCAAATTATTGTAAAAAAATAATAATAATATACACAAAAAAAAACCAACAATATTAGACAAGCTAATTCGGAAATTTTTTTCTCACTTTCTTACAAAACAAATGCAACTTAAAAATAAATAAAATTAAATTATAATTATTTATAATAATAAATAAAAATTAATAATAATAATAGTAATTAATACATTTACGAAAATAAAATAAATAAGTACAAAATATTCTTTTATGCTTCTTCTTTTTTTAATTTTCATTATTTTTTTGTTTGATGTTTACTACTATTTTCAATATTCTTTTGATGTGTGGGTGGTGGTGTTTGTTTTCCGGTATTTCTTCAATTTTTTTTTAGCGATTTAGGGGTGATGATCTTCTTCATCTTCTGGTTGGAGAATTCAAAATCATTGCCTAAAGTTGCATGACAAACCGGAAGTTTGTTTTTAACAATGAATTTAGAGAGAGACAGACATGTTTAACTTTGATTGTTGTTGTTTGTTTGTTTTTGGTGGGAAGGGATGTTGGTGTTGATCTAAAGTAGTTATGTTGTAATTGGCGGCATATTGAAATTTATCGGTGAACCGTTAACAATTTTTATGAAATCTTGTAATTGTGAAACTTCCTCGGCCGGTATAAATAAAACTTTTAAACATTCACCAAACCATTTTGAATCGAAACAGTCTTTCCTATAATAAAAAAAAAACAAGAAAATAAAATAAAAACACAAATAATAATAAGAAAAATAAAACAATAAACAAATCATATTTCATGTAAATAAGCAAAATAAAAAAGAAAACAAAAAAGTTAACAACATTCTATAAATTTAGCATATACTTTTTTTATTCTGTTGTTTTTGTTTTTTCTAAATTGAAGGTGTGTCATATTCCGTGTAATTGTTTTTTTTTCAAATGGTGGCTACATAATGTAAATTAATTGTTATTTTCCAATAGGGAAGCAAAATCAAATGACAAAGGTGCGCCATTTATGACTTTAATAAAATGTTGCAGTTGACTGATTTCTTCATCGGGTATTAATAAGGCATTAATACAACCTTCAAATGTTTGATGTGTAAAACATTTGTGCCTGTTGATTTAAATAAAGAGGGAGAGAAAAAAGAAGAACAACAAGAAAAACAATAAATAACAACAAAAAATAATTTCAACTTCCCTGTAGAAGTATTATGATATTGCAACATTCCTTTAAGCACTCAAGGCAATTGGTTTTTTTATTGCAAAATAAATGTTGGCGATTCGTCTGGGTATCACAACAATTTGCTTAAAATTTGTTTTTATGTAAGTCTACATTTTGCTTATTTAAATAATGTATTATTTAAATAGCTATTTATTTACGAATAAACACGATTTAGTTGGCGCTTTTATTTTTGTAACCAGTGGGCAACATTTAACCGTCTGTCAAGTGTCCGTTATTCATGCACTCGTGAATGATGCCTCTCTCAATGCATGCATACAGCATGCTCAATAAAAATAATGACCGTTATTCGTGCATTCATGAGAGTGACATTCTTATTTGAAGTAAACATTAGTGCACAGTTATACGCCATTTACACAGGAACAAAGTTACAGTGAAATGATATGGTGGCAAAGTACTTTAAAAAATGTTTAAATTGATGCAATATCAAAATAGATCACATGTTTTGGTATAAAACATTGAAAAAATTTTTCTTAATTCGTTTTCTAAGTAAATAAAAGATTAATTTGTTAAAAAAACTTTCAATTATACATAATAAAGATTCACTTTCATTTCGAATTGATGGCATATATTTATTTATTGTATGCTCAATAATATACTATATGCCAAAAGGCATAACATGTGATTAAGTACACATGCACCGGATGTATATCAGGCGTTTTATTTTGAAGCAATTTAAGAAATAAATATTATATAAATGTCTAGTGTGAAATGATGATGATAATTATAATTATCAAAAGTTAATTTGGTTATTATTGAAAATGTCAATATTTTGTAGTTTAGGATATTGCATATATATCAAATGATAATTGTATTTGCATCTTGTTTAAAACCACAGCCAACAACACAGCAAAAAAAATGACGTCCATGGTATTCGTAGGATTGGACTTTTTGTAGGTCACGGTTTGATATTTTTTCTATGAAATATATATGAATATACTATTGCAAATTGGAAATAGTCAAGTGTATATTACCTTGAACTAGAATATTACATTTGAATATGTGTTTGTGTGTTTTTCAAAAATAAAACAAAAAATATCTTAAAATAGTACACACAACTACGTCGTCTTTTGTGATGCACAGAAATGAAAGAAAATAAAGGTCTTAATATATTTTTTTGTTTATTTTAAAGTTCATATTCCGCGTTAATTTTTCTGGGAATTTATACCATAATTTAGAAGAGTGTTATTATTATTGAATGTGTCAAAATTTAGTCATAATTTGCTTTGTTATTTCTACGCTAGATTTTTGTTAAATGTTGATACATAAATGATTGGCTTTTTAAATGTCAAATATGATTCGCATATTTCCAAATATGCCAAATATAACAATCCATGTGTTTAGGCATGAGGAATTTGATGTGTCTCCAGTCCACCATTCAATTTTGTTGTGTACTCATCACGTCTCTAGCGACAAGTTTGACATGAGCAATTTACACAGTTTGATCAGTGGCCAGATAATATAATATTTATACTTTGTGTGAGGTTAAAGTACGTTTACAATTACGTTTACATGATAGTGATTTATATGTATATTAAATGTGTTTTTATTAAACGTGTCGTAATTATATTCGTCGATCGTTTATATTCTCAACAGTGAGATTGCCGACAAAATATTATGTGACTTTGGAGTTGTCCAGTAATAGAGAGGGAGACTGACAGTTTGACAATTACATTTAGAATTGAATACATTGCTTCGATTAAGACAAATAAGCAACCATGATCAGCTGTTTATGTTTTGAGTTATTGAGTGCGCACTTACATGTGTATATTAAATGTTTCAATAAAACGAGTCATAATTTTTTTCGTTTATATTATCAACTGTGTTTAGACTAAAATTTATTGGACTTTGGAATTATCCCGTAATCGAGAGGGAGACTGACAGTTCGACAAGTATATTAAGTTTTTGTAAGAAAAAAAAAACATGATCAGCTGTTCATGTTTTGAATTATTTAAACACGTAATAAAATGTACATATCAAATGTGTTTTTATAAAATGAGTCGTTTAATATGGTTTACACTACATATGGTTTACACTTATTGGACTTTGGAGTTGCCCAGTAATAGAGAGGAAAACTGAGAGTCCGACAATTATAGTTAGAAGTGAATATATTTCTTCATGTTTTTGATTATTGAAAAAGCGTAATGTAATTTGTCTTCTGTCTGTAAAACATATACACGAAATGTGTTGTAATAAAACGCCTAATTTAAATTGTCATGTGTATTTGAATATATGTCAAATAAGTGACGTATTTTCATAAAACATCTGTTTTAACCTTCATTTTTTATGGTGGTATTTTTAATCAACCCTGATTTGCTGCAATTCCGGGGGATTTTTTTTTCAAATGTCAACTCGATTTAGGCGCGATTTATAGACAACTTGTCAACCAAGTGTTTTCTTTCTCTCAAGATCATTGTAAAATATGAAGTTTTTTTTAATTAGCACATTTAAACTTACTTGCATAATCTGTGTATACTTGTCTCACGGAATAAGTTATAACAATCATCGCATATTTTATCCAAACGATAGAACATGGTCTTGTTATAGATGCCTTTACATTCCAGATCAAAGAAATTACTTCTCTTGGCCATATTGTGATTGCGGGGAAAAGCTGTGAACAGTGGAACGAAGATAAGGAACATCATCACCACCGAGATTTTAATGCTGCGGGAACACATCTGCAAGAAAAAAAAACATGCAACATAAAAATTAAAATATATTATATAAAGTTCACAAAAAAAAACAACAAAATATCATAAAAATTAAAAGAACGCTATATCGGTTGCTTTTTATGTGCTAAAAATAATTTAATCAACCATATAAAGTTAAGATCTCAGGCTAAAAATAACTAGCGCAAAACTTGAATGAAGCTAATTTTACAAGCTCTATACACGAGAATGGAGAGAGAAGAGGACAATTTGTGTCTGGTGGCTGGCTGACTGACTGACTCAATGGCTGGCTATGTGTCTTTACAACGACGATATCGGCGGCGGCACACAATGTGGGCATTTATGTATGAACTTTTAACGCACATAATTTATGTGTTCGATTTTGAACGGACGACCAGACAGACAGACGGACGGGCGTACGGCCAGGCGTATAGAATAGTTTTCTTACAACGCCAAAGTAAATTTAGCTTGTGTGAGGTTTTAAACAACAACAACACCACCTTGTCATTGATCCAAACCGCCACCAGACGATATTATCTCATCATCACCATTGTGTTCTATAAATAAATGTGTCTATAAACAAAAAAATTGGATGTCCGTGCGCTGTCGCAACTTTTTGTTGTTGTTGTTGTAGTTGGTATTATTATTGTATTTTTGTGTATAATGAACTTCATATGTTGAGCAGTGTAAAAAACTAGCCAACCAAGTGAACAGTCCGTGAAATTTTCAGCCCCAGCAGATGTGAAGAAACTAAAACAATTTTTGTCGCTGCTGTTTTTTTTTGGGTTTTGAAGTTTCTTTTAAGAATGGCGACATTGTATGCAGCCAATATTGGCGAATCATTGATTTTCATTGTTGTTGTTGTATTTTATAATCGAAACGGAAGAGTTTATATGCTGCTACATGAAAATACTAAGAAAGAAGTAGGATTAAAAAAGAGATCCGCTAGTCATTAAGTTGTCAAAGGAGTTTTTTTTATTGTTTTTGTTGCTGTGAATTTGTGCAGTGTATAAATTTATATAATTAAGTCCCATTTTCACAACACAACGGATTATGTAGTTATTGATTGAATTTTATGATACAGATTTAAATTGTATTTTATGGTGAATGTGTGTGTCTAAATATGCCAAAATGGTTACAAATGTGAAACTATCTTGTAATAATTTCGGATATTCCGAAACTTGTTTAATTTCCACCCTCCTTTTTTAAACATTGAAGTTGAGTATACACTATTGGTCAAATATTCAAAACATAAAGTCAAACAGAGTCTTTTTCATTTAAATGAATCCTAACATGTGATATGATATTTATAATGTATTATATTATTGAAATTATATCAAGAATGATTTTATCCATGGATAATTATAAAGCATTTTCATATTGGTTTTTTATATTATACCATATTTATCATAATTCTATGTTGCAGTTTGAGTCAACCAAATTAAAATTTAGTAAATAAAGTGCAACAGTTCCAGTTTCATCAATGCAAAATAACTCCTTAAACATATCTTGATTTTTAATTATGCAATTCGTTGTATGAAGATAACGGCACGGAGTATTTTATACAAAGTTTATCAAATATATCCAAAAACCAATAGATCCAGGTATAATCCGCTATATTTTTTAATATTTCATATATTTTGCAGTGGAACAATTTCTTTTGCATTTTTTCTGTACATACATATGTATACAATTAAAGAATTAAACCATATATGTTTATTATAGTACTAACAAAATTGAAAACAACTTTTTATTTATTCAAGGTCTAAACACATGTTTGTCATACTGAACATTACAAAAACAGTGTTGTATTTGAATTTATGTTTATTTCACACATAATTTCGAGCAAATTGAGGGTTCTATAGGTAGAATTGTGTCTTATTTTGAAACTGTGGAAGATGATTTTTCTATTATTCCTTCATTTTAAAATAAAATTTTAACAAAAAATGTTTACCAACATTTTTATTTTTTTTTTTGAAAAAGCGAAGATTCAAATTGTTCACCAATCTAACAAAATGTAACATTTTTGCCACATCAATTAATTTCCATTAGCAAATGAATTTAAATTGAAATACTCTTTTCAGCAATAATATTAATTGCTAACATGATTTTTTCTTAATATTGTGTAAAATAAACATGGGTGTGTATGGCAGAGACAGATAGAGGGAGTGAACAATACACAACACATGATTTTCATTAATAAAATATTTTTGTAACCAACTAAAAAATAAATATTTGATATAAAACATCGCAAAATGCTCTTTACAAGCAATGTTTTACACATGCAAACATAAATATATACGTGCGTGTGTGTAAATATTTGTGTTTATTTAAATATATGATATATACCAATGATTGTTTGGTTGGCTAGCTGCCTGGCTTGTTGACAAGCCCCCTAACAAAAATATACATCATTACCATATTCTATATGATTTACACAGAGATTAACCGTCAATGAGATGAGAGCAAGAGTGGTAACAACCACGGAGACAGAGACGGAGAGAGCGAGAAGAACCAAATAACGATTAACATATTCAATTAATTTGCGCATTTTCATTGTGTAAACGACGAACAAAATAATAAAAAAAATTCAATACAATTGCTCGTTTATTTATTTATTTTGTTGTTGTTTTCTTGTTTTGTTATAGATCTTGTTGTTTTTGTAACGACCCTGTAGGAAATGTCTACAGTAAATCAGTATTGACTTACTATTGGCATTGTCACCAATACTGTTGACCGACTATACCCAACACAATGCATTTTACTATTGACATTTAACATGTGCTTGTCATTGGAAATGAACTAGTGACTTGGTCAGTAGTAAGTCAGTAGTTTTTAGATATAGACACAGCGTCGCATATGTGGACACGGTCAGTAGTAAGTCAATAGTTTGTATATATAGACAAAAGGTCACATATGTCACTTGTAAATTTTTTATAATTTCTTTTGCTCAAAAATTTTTTCACCAATTAATTAATTAATTGATTTATTACCATTAATAACTTTAAACTCGCGTTTTTAATAAAATATCTGTCTATTGCCGCCAACATATTTATAATTAAAGAAAAAAAGAAGAAGCATAACCATGCTCAGTTGGTTGTTAACATAACAAATGCTTCTTCTTATTACATGATATGTAGACAAGTTGTAGAAAATATGGAGACATGTCGCCACAATAGTAGACAAAGGCGATACAACACCCCACATTTCCTTCAGGGGAGTATTTAGGATTTAGAACACAATAAAAACAATGAACAGAGTGAATGAATAACATAATGCATCATCATTCATTTCGTTTCGTTGCATTTCACCATTACATAGTTGCATACATACATTGACGGCAATCGTTTGCATGCATGCATTTGTTGTAGCAACAACAACAATTATACATGTGCCATCATCATAGACAATGACCAAATGACAATGCATCAGCAATGCGAATAACATACATACAAGTGTTCTATGTGAAATAAACGCAAACATCAAACAACGTCGCATGCTGTCGACAAGTTCTTCGCACTGAAACGATTTGCTTCACTCCTCTCACTCTCTCTCTCTGTTCTTGTGTTACCACCATTTTTTTTCTCTGTTGCTGATATTCTCCTCTCCATCATTGTTGTTGTCATCATCGTCGTCGTTGCCGTCGTTGTTGATCATGGCAGACATCATGTCGCTTTATTTTTCTATATAGTCTATAGACTGTGTAAACCATTCGTAAATTATCTCGTGACTTTTTAATACTACACCCTGACAAACACACTATATCAAGTGGTAAGAATATATGTACGTATGTGTGTATATCAACAAATAGCGACAAATGTCATTAAAAAATGAATAATATTAAAATAAAATAAAAAACATGCACACATACGCTAAAGCATGTAGCACACTTAATCGCTCATTTATCAAGTTCTAATAAGAAGTATTAGGGGGTTTCACATGGGGGGTTTTACATTGGGTTTAACAAAAGTGTTTGGCTATTATGTAAAGGCTAGCACACTTTTTTGGAAATAAATAATTATTTAAAAAATATATTTCTTTTAAATAATAATATAATAAGAAATTTTTAAAGTGATTTGCAAAATCATTAACATTTTTCTTTGAGTGTTTGTTTGTTGGTGTGTTTTTTTTTATCTGTTTGGGGGTGGTGGTTAATTGTTATTACAACAATACAGTTCTATTGACTGTATATTGTCCCATGGTTATTAATTAGATCCTATGATGATTAATGAAGAAATACATTATTTATTACTTAATCAAGTTGGAATTGTATAGAAAAACGTTATTATATATGGCATATTTAGTTTATTTATTTTTTTTGTTTTGTTGTTTTTCGATAAAGATGCAATTGTTAAACAATTGTATTGTATTTTATATTTTCATAAATTAGAATGTTTAAAAACATTTAATTAAGATATTTCATAACGTCAAAGGCATGTCAATTTTTAATTATTTCAATTCCGTTAATGAATATTCTATAACTGTTACTTTTGTTATACAATTTTTTTTTGTTTTGTGAATAAAATAAATATTTTCCCACGTGTATGTGCAGTGGTAGGGGGAAAAAATTCCTTATACAATGTATCGAAGAAAAAATTCAATTTAAATTTTTTTATCAAGAAAATCAATATTAAACTTATGTCACGCCTTTATGAAACAATGTGTAAACGTAATGTGTAAACGTAATGTAATTGTATATTAAAGATAATAATGTCAATGGGGATAATCAAATAAAATTCTGGTTTTTAGTCTTGCAGTGTTGCATCAATATTTAAATGTAGACTTATGTGGGGTACACACAATCAGTTTTTCTGTAATCTCACTTATTTTATTCAAAAATAGTATTGCAGCAATATTTAAATGTAGACTTATGTGGTGTGCACACTATCAGTATTTATGACAGATTATTGACTATCCAAAAACCGCAAATATTTTTGTTATTTTCTAATAACTGCCAAATATAAACGGTTACACTATAAAGCAAACAAAATTCTAACCAAACCGTCATACAAAACTTAT